ATACTGAGCATCTTTCTCTTTGACACCATGTCTGATATCCCACGTGATCTGTCAAATACTAATGCATGAAAATCCTAACCTCAAAAAAATCACCCTATATAATACTGCCCTTTGCCACGTGCTTCCCTATGAAAGTTGTGAGCACCTCAGCAGACCTGACATTGCCGGGACATACCTCCAGCCTAAAGACGTCACTCCCATCCTCAACCATCCCAAGAACCTAGTGGTCTGGCCCAAAAATAAGAAAATATTTATATTAATTATACAAAAAAGAATTATGTTTTTATTATTACCTTAGTTGTATTTCCTCTTCCCACATTTGCTTTCATCTATTTCAACAGTTTTACCAGGACCACCAATTTTACCTACCGCTACCTGATGTTCAACCTGGTATAATACTACGGCTTCGCGGCAGTAATTATACCAGTCATATATAGTAGCGTTTGATAAAACTGGTTCCCTAATAAAACTGTTCTTCCTCACTTCCGCATGCGACCAATGAGATGCATACGCATACATTAAATAAAATATTTGCAGAAAGGGAGTTCTCACGTTGTTGAACCAGGTATCGCTCGACCTTGCCAACGCAGTTCGGTTCCGACAACCACCTTTACGTCACCGGAACACCCCAACAGAGCTACTTTTATTTAATGACAGCGTCATTGGAACTTTATGCGTGCGACACATTTTAGATTTTAGGATCAGTTCTTGTTCTTCCGCAAATTTTTCTTCAGTATCAAATGTTTGGATTATTTTTACAATATTCCACATTGATTTCACTTCCGACGCTTTAAGCACATTGGTTTGCTTTACGACACCTCGGCTGGTTGACGCTCCGACGCAATCTATTTAAATGCCTTAAGTTATATTTCTATCAATTTAAAACTTATATTACTTACCTGATGAATTTGCACTAATTTTTTTAAATACACCTTAACTTTTATATTTATATACATTTTTAATTTTATATACCTCTGTATATTTCTAAGTTTGTATCTTGGATACAGACATAAACGCGGAATTCAAATGAAATATATATTAAACTAATAACAAAACAGGAAAAAGAAACGGTACATTATTTAGTTGTAACAATACCCGTTATAGAAAATGTAGTTTAAACATTTAAAGTAAAGGGAAAACGCGAAATTGATAAATGTGAAGATAATGACAAAACGGACAACAAAAACAACGGTACCTTGTTTAGTTGTAACAATATCCGTTATAGAAGATGTAGTTTAAAGAAGGTGATATACCCTGTTTAATATAGCTTTTAGATTTCCTTCCAGCATTGGCAGCCTTCGGCCGCGCTTAAAAATAACCCTGGCCGATCCAACACCGGGGTGTGTCAGATTGTTTTTACGTAAAACTCCTTCTTGCGTTGGCGGCCTTCGGCCACGCTTCAAAAACAAAAAAAAATAATAACCCTGGGCGATCGAACACCGGGGTGTGCCAGGTTTTTTTTTTAAGTAAAACTCCTTTTTGCGTTGGCGGCCTTCTGCCGCGCTTCAAAAAAAAAATAACCTTGGCCGATCCAACACCGGGGTGTGTCAGGTTTTTTTTTTAAATAAAATTCCTTTTTACGTTTTGTTATTACAAGAAATCGAGAAAATGCAAGAAAAAATTTGCAAAATTTTCAGCTTTAAATGCAAATATCTCGAAAACTATAAGTTTGCGGCGGCAACAATTATTATACAGTTTCTTAATCTGGAGCATCAGCTCTATCCAATCATACCACTTTTAACACTGAAATCGTGGGATGGTATATTAAAGCTAACCCTTGTTTTTTACTAAAACCTTAAAAAAAATACATATTTGTTTTGTAAATAGATTTTATTTTCTTAATTTAAGATATAATCTTCACATGACAGCTTTTGTATCAAATTTTTGTGGCAGCACTGGTAGTAACATGATGTGCTGAACACAATGGTCGGGAAAGACTGCAGCAGAATGATAGTGCTGAATATGGCGTTGTGAATTCTACTACATGAACATTCGTAAGGAGGCAGCAACATAACAATGGCCGGTATGTGCACAAGACAGCTCTCCATTTTGTATTACACAATTTCGTTGTGGCCGTACTAATATAATATCTTACACTTCAATGAAATTTTAATATTTTGTTGAAACTGAAAATTTTTTTTAAATTGTCAGTTGATATTACAAATGATATAATACAGCTATTTCATGCTTTTATTTGTAAAAGAATGTCAGGTTTATTAGAGTTTTGAATAATTTTACATTTTACATATTAGTGACATCACCACTCTTCCTCATCTCTCTACCTTCAATTCTACTGTCAACGCTACTGTCGTTGGCAAATATAAGAGAATATTGAAGTTAGCGAGAGCGCCAACTGTCGGCCTGCAGTCGTGTAGTCGTGCAGCTGTACAAATAACTCTGTCTATCAGAACGTGTGTATTTTAATATTTGACAGATGAGATGTCGTTTGCAGACTGTCGCTAGCATTGTGTTCAGCACATGAAATTCATACAAAAATCGATTATAGTGCGATCTTTGGCGTTATTCCTTTTATTTATATTCAGTTTTGTGTTGCTGCAAAGTACTTAACTATGATGGCACTAAATTTACCTCGACCTTTGATCAGTAATTTGAATTTGTGTAGAAGAACATTGTCTGATCAAAGCCGGTATCAGTTTCTTCAACATTCGAAATTACCTACTTATTACTTCCAAAAATCGTTGCCTCGTTTACCGATTCCAAAAATAAAGTTAACAGCTTCTCGGTTTCTTTCTGCTGTGCAGCCTATTTTAGATCAAAAAGAATATGATCGCACCGTACGTATTTTATCAGATTTTGTAACTGGTGACGGAATCAAATTGCAGGCATTACTTCAAAACTACGACAATTTGAATAGCCATACAAGCTACATATCGGAACCATGGTAAGAACTTTTATAGTTAATATTTAAAAAGGAAACTGATTCGAGTGTGCTTCTGTTTCATGGCTTTCAAAATTAATGAATTCATTAAGATTTGTATTCGAAATGTTCAAAGTTCATCTATTAATTAACTTGCGGGTAAATGTTCAGGAGAGCGGCTTTTCCGAAAACATGCACCAATTTTCACGGGAAATGTCTTAAAATACTCGTTTTTAATTCTACTTTACGAATATGCATGGCGCGTGCCTTTAAAAACAATATTTTCTTTGTTTTAATTAAAAATTTACTTTTACACTTAATACGTCTTTAGAAGTTAAAAATATTTTTTCTACCAATTATATACATGTAATTATTGATTGTTGTTTAGTTTATCAATAAGAGAAATTGGTTTTTATGTTTTATAAAAATATCTGATCGAAATTGGTAAAAATGAGAAATATATAGAGGAAAATTTATATTTCATTACATTCACAGAAGCATTCTGTGACCAACTTCTTTCTGCTATAATAATGATTTATAAATTTTCCTATTATATATATCTCATTTTTAACAATTTCGATCAGTCTTGAATATCGAGAAGTGGGCGTTCGAATTTACAATAGTGATGTCTTACTTTCGAACATATCCTTGCCATTTTCGTTGAATTGAGTGATTGTGAAGTTTTTATATTTTTATAAAACTAGCATCAAAACCAATTTCTCCTATTGATAAACTAAACAACATCAATAAATACGTGTATATAATTGGTAAAAAAAATATTTTTAACATCTGAAGACGTTAAGTGTAAAAGTGAGTTTTTAATTTCGGGAAATACGATGTTTTCTTATTAAAACAAAAAAATATTATTTCTAACGGCATGCGACGTATTTCCGTTTACTAGTTTTGTTATTCATATAGATTCTTTTTCTTCTTATTTGGCGTAGTCACCGCTTTCGCGATTATAGCCGAGTTATTTTTGTCGTCATCAAAATTGGGGTCTCATCCGATTATATATCATATATAATTTTAATAAATATAGATAGTGATAAGCAATAAAATTTTTTTGTGCGTTGGTGGGGTTTGGCGGCGCTTCAAAAAAATAATCCTCGTTGTTTGTTGCTGTTATAACGGTTATCAGTCCCCGTTAGGATGGTGAGGGTTATCAGTATTGTCGACGTCATCTAACGGGAGGCCAAGGAATCGTGCTATTTCCACGAGGTCGGATCAAAACAAAAAGGGTGTTAGATGAGTATGGTTGGCAGGGCATGCAAAGAGGTGGTCAGTTTTATGCTGAGACTCGTTGCATGCAGGTCATACATTGGATATGTCGGGGGTCTATTCTGGATAAGTAGGAGTTTAACCTGCTACAATATTCAGAACGAAGCTGAGCTAGGGTCACTCGCGTTTCTCGCGGCAACTCTAGCTCGACCTCTGCGATGGGTGGTGATTTGACTCCAAGTACGCCATTCACGGGGAGGGAGTCGGTGAAGGTGTTGATGGCTCCACTGTGAATGTCGGTCAGTACATGTCGGAAGTCTGTTGCGTCCGAAGCCCGGTCGGCGTACTGTACGATGTCTTCGACGTAGTCAAAGAAAGACCTCTTGATGCTGTTGTTGTAGCGGCAAAATTATGGCAAGTGGACAGTCCTTGGCCGGATAAAAATCCGAGTCCGTTCCGGTTACGTAGACCCGAGTGTTGTGAGAACGGGCCTCTTGATGCTCATAGGAGTTTGTTCCGCTCCATGCAGGTGGGGTAAAGGTGATTTCTACGAAAACATCCTAGGAGGAACTGCTTGGAGAAAAGTTCAATACGAATGAAGATGAGGAATGCACCGCGACCTTTGGTATATTGTGCTCTCTCCTGACTCACATTGTCGTACTTAGCCCCAGCGCATTGATGAAATCCAATAGCTTACCGCGTGCTAATGGGACAATGCAATTAGATCTGTTTCTATAGACTGGGCAGTCAATCAGCAGATGCTCCGTAATTTCAGGCTCCCTGTTGCAGAACCGGCAGCTGGCGCAAGAGGATAGGCTCGAGCTGTGCAGATGCCTATTGAGCTTGCAGTGGCCAGTGTACCATGCGACTAGTAGCCTGAGTTTGTTCCTGGGGAGGTTTATTACAATTTTGAACCTTTTCAAGTTGTATCCTCCCATTAGCAACTTGGCATGTCTCGTACCATGAGTTTGTAGCCAATGTTCCTCCCTGCCGTTCTTTCCTCTTTGCGCATCTCGGTGGAGGCTGCGGCGCGGGCGCGCTCGTCCGCCAGTTCGCTGCCGGCTATGCCTCTGTGACCAGGCACCCAGATCAGGTGTACCTGACCGTTCCCAAGACAGTCGGGTCTACGAAAACCGGAATGGACCCGGATTTTTATCCGGCCAAGGACTGTCAACTCGGCAGAATTCTGCCGTTACAACATCAGGTGTACCTGTATTCTTTCCGCACGGCTGTTCAGCCTATCCCTACACTCCTGCACTAGTAGCGATTTGATCTCGTAAGAGGAGATCGCCTTTAGCGCCGCTGGACTATCGCTGAGAATGGCTATTCGCTCATTGCGATAGTTGCGGTGGAGGTTTGTTTCTGTACACCGGCTTATGGCAAAAACTTCTGCCTGGAAAATGTTCGGGAACTCTCCCATGGGTATGGAGAGCTTAGTGCGTGGGCACTACATCAGCTCGAGATTGGAATCGTTCCACTTGTTTTTGCTGCCGAGGATGACCGTAAACTTTTTCCTGAAGTTTTGGTAGCACTGTTCCTCTGGAGGAGGGCCAATGGTACCTTGCCACTTATCTTTTGCATCCTCTGGGATAAAACTACCTTGCCTTTTCCACACCCCTCTGCCGATATTTGCAGAAGGGTGTGTTTTGCAACCTTACCGATGACCAAATAAAGCGGAGTAAGTTCAATCCGAACCTCCAGCGCTGCCGTTGGACAGCTCCTTAACAGGAAGCATAAACGTTTCAATATGTAGGTGTTCGATGGGAGATATCAACAGGCATCTCGTCGTGGTCCGGAGTGCAGTATTCTGACAAGTCTGGAGTTTTCCCATCTGCGTATCACCCGATTCAGGCGCCTTGTATGTTGCCAAGAACGTTTCTTTGTCTTTTTCCCATGTGCTGCGGGCTAGCGACTTGAGGATTTTGTTGCGGCTCTGTACCTTGGGAATAATCGCGGTCGTATGGGGAGAGCAGGACTATGAATAGTTACAATTCCCACGACAGCCGGTTCTACGCACCGGAATTGACTCAGATTTTATCCGACCAAGGGCTGTTTTTGGGCGATCTAACCCCGTTTGGACCGGTGAGTACTAATTTGTGTTTGTCGTCATTATAGCAACGCCTTTCAGCAGGGTTGCTCCGTATCCTCCTGACTCGTGCTGGCAATGAGTCCAACCTGGGCCACGAGGAATTTCTCTGCTGCGCATGCGCAAAAAGGCTCCATCAAAACTCCGCCTCGGTCAGGTGCAATACATGCAATGGATGGAGCCATCTTAAGACCTGTTCAGGCCTTAAGACTCATACGAAGTGGACCACGCGTTAGGTGGCCCCATGTTGCCTGCGCAATACTGCGACACAAGCCTCTACGGCTGTGCAATCTGCACATAGTTCACGCACCGCGCCGCCACTCAGCCCGAGTGGCCAACAGATGACCTCCACGGTCAGCAGCTCACACAGGCAACATAGCTCCCACCCTGACTTGACCGGGATGCCTTTTGATGTCTCCCATAGAACACCTCCACAGTGAGACGCTTATGCTTCCTGAAAAGGATCATAATGAACTCCTCTCCAAACAGTTCCCGCTAGGATGTTTCCGAAGCAATCACCCTTGCAGCCATCTGCTTTGAGCGGAACCGCCCCTCAGGAGCATCAAAAGGTCCTCCCTTGACTACGCCGACCGGACTTGAAATGCAATTGACTTTCGACAGGTACTGACCGCCATTCACAGTGGAGCCATCAACACCTTCACCGACTCTCTCCCCGTGAATGGCGTTCTTGGAGTCAAACCACCACCTATTGCAGACGAAGAGCTCCAGTTGCCGCGAGAAACGCGAGTGACCCTAGCGCAACTTCGTTCTGGATACTGTAGCAGGTTAAACTCCTACTTATCCAGAATTGACCCAGATATACCCAATGTATGTCCTGCATGCAACGAGTCCTCGCATGATACTGGCCACCTCTTTGCATGCCTTAGAAACCTTACTCATCTAACACCCTCTTCCCTTTGGTCCGACCACGTCGAAACATCACGTTCCCTGGGCCTCCCGTTAGATGACCTCGACGACAACGCAAATGAGCCTTACCACCGTAACGGGGATTAGATAATCGTTAAAACCAACACAATAACAAAAGTTACACCTAAAATATTATTGACAGTCGGAATTTTGACGCCATCGACTTCAATATTAAGCTCAAGTTTATGCTATATTTGGGAAAGGGTGAAATAATAGATTGTTCAAATCCGCTTGAAGAGTTCGTTGTCCTAAAGCAGATAGATCCCTTCGCGGAAGGAACGTAACAACGGATAATTTCTTTTTCTTAAAAAAAACTCCAATTGTCGGAAAAATTCGTGGAAACAGGAAGCCGAATAGAGTATTTATGTATGAATAACATTCTGTAAAAAATTTATTTATATTTGTTTTATTCTTTATAATGAGTTTGAGAAAATATATAAAAATAACTTTGGACGAAACTTTATGAAAATTATTGAATTTTAGCATTAAATGAACAGTTATTTGTATTGAATAATAAAATCGATAAATTTTTTAATTGCCGGTCAATTTGACAGCGAGCGGTAGGAATAGGTGTATAAGAATTGTCTAGTGTCACTCCTAAAGTCGTTGGATTATTGACATATTATTTACCGTCATCGACGTCGTGTGAATATGGTATTTAAAGGGGAAGAGGATTGTTCTCCTTGTAGCGAAGAAGCGAGAAAAATCGGAAAGATAGCCTTTTACTTACTTATATATGCCGAAATTATTCTTCCAATTAAAGACTAATGCATTTTGTATTTTATAGAAATGT